CACACCTCACTTTTCAGTCATTCAAGACAACTAGCTGGTTCCCAGATTCAACATTCCATCTTCTGCCGCTGCACATCCCCTCCAATTGTACCCCATGTCCCCCCCTCCTTGTTTGACTCCTCCAAAGGAGGAGGCTCTTTCTGCAAGGTTCAGTTCAGGCGCCCCATCTTTGTTTTGTTTTGTTTTGGCTAGGCAGTGGGGTTAAGTGACTTGCCCAGGGTCACACAGCTAGTAAGTGTTATGTGTTTGAGATCAGATTTGAACTCAGACCCTCCTGAATCCAGGATCGGTGCTCTCTCCACTGTGCCATCCAGCTGGCCCTAGGTGCCCCATCTTTGATGAAGCCTTCCCTGACCCCTCAGTTGTGAATTTCTCTCATTAAATTAACTCATATTTACTTATATCCCCTCAAGAGAACATAAGCTCCTTGAGAGAAGGGGCTGTCTTTTGGGGGGTTTGTTTGTTTGTTTTACATCTGTATACCCAGTGCTTAGCATGGCATATTGCACATAGTGAGTGGTTAATAAATTGAATTCAGTTGTGATAGCCTGTCCCCTCAAAGTGAGTAGAAGGACACTGCTTTGCCCTTCCTAGGCCCTGCCCTCTCAAAGCCCCTTCAAAGTGCGCCAGCCTGGAAGCCCGGAGGCCAGAAAAGGCCCTCAGGAGCCCGGGGAAGCTTGGCACACTCAGTGCAAAGCCTCTGGACGAGGCCCTCTGTCTGCTTCTCTCTCAGCCCCCCTCCTTGCCTCCCAAGTGTTGTGCTTGGCACAGGGCAGCCTGGGGTTTCTATATATGTGCCACACAAAGGCGCGTGCAGTCTCCTACCCACTCCCAAGGGTTTGCAGGCACCAATCAGGCCCTTCCCGCTGGGACAGCTGGAAAGACGCCCAACCAACATGTGCCTGGATCCCGGCCCTTGCCTCTTTCTTCCCATCCGTCTCAAAGAGACAGCGCGGGAAGATGCTCCCAGCCCCAAACCACAGGAACCAGCCTGAAAGGCAGTGAGGCCCAAGTCGGCTGGCACTATCCCTGAGTCAGTTAAAAGAGTGGTGGTTTAGGAGACTCACTTAGAAATTCAGGGCCCCACTACTGTGTGGCTCTACAAATGCCTGCCACCACTCTGTGTTTCAGTTTACCCCTCTGCAAAATGGACATACAAGAATCCCTGGGCACAGGTCCCAGAGTGAAGGCTCCAGCCCAGGGAAGGAATGCCTAGATGGGTTTGTGGGGTTTTTTATTTTTTCTGTTTTCAACTTGAGCTCTTGTGTTAAAGGAAACAGGGACACAGCTTCCCTTTTCTCCTCCCAAGGGTATTCTGGCAGAAGCCATCTCCATCCTCCCATTTGCTAACAGCTTCTTGACTACTGTGCCCACGGCCTAGACTGGAGGCATCATGGCAGAGGCTGTCTGTAGCATCAGAGAGGGCTCACTCTGAAGTCCTCTCAGGTCAGGGAGAGGTAGAAGCACCCCATCCTCGGGAAAGCAGCTACCACCCAGCCCACGCCCTGAATCACCTCTACTCCTGCCCACACAAGCACCAAGGAGTGGATGGGAGAACTCAGAAACTGCAAGGGAATCCCAGGCAATGGTGCCAGATGGGCCCTTCGAGGCCTCTTCATCCAATCTATTCACTTCGCAGAGGAGAACACAGAGGACCCAGAAGGGAGCAGCACCTTATCCAGGGTCAACACAGTAATTAGCAGCAGAGCCAGATTTGAACTCAGGTCTTTGAATTCAAAGCCCAAGACTCTTTCTTCACATCGACCCATGATTCTGGAAGCTAGGGGCACTCATCTCTTTGAGAACTCAGCAGCATGTTGACAGCATTCTTTCAACCACCACATATGGCTTAGCCCAACCTCACTCACCTAGTATACATTACTCTCCATTATGGATATTTGTATTCGTATCATATCCCCCAACTAGATTGAAAGCTCCACGTGGGCAAGCACTATATCCTAGCTAAATGGCATATGTCCTCTGAGGCAGAGCATGGTGTCCTCCACACAGCAGGTGCTTAGTAAATGTTGAATTAAACTCAACTTTTTTTAAAATTAATTTATTTTTAGTTTTCAACAATCACTTCCACATACTTTTGAGTTTTAAATTTTTCTCTCCCTCCCTCCCCAAGACAGTGTGCAATCTGATATAGGCTCTACATATACATTCCTATTAAACATATTTTCATATTAGTCATGTTGTAAAGATAAACTCAACTCTTAAAGAAAAAGTAAAACACTATACATAGATACAGGATCATTATTACTAACACTCTGGCATGGTGCAGGATGGGGGAGGGGCAGGATGAGATCAGGGAAATCTGATGATGGGGATGCTGGGAGATCTTCGACAATGTGGAAAGTGAACTTTCTTTTTTTTTTTTTTTCTTTTTTTTTTTTGGTGAGGCAATTGGAGTTAAGTGACTTGCCCAGGGTCACACAGTTAGTAAGTGTTATGTGTCTGAGGCCAGATTCAAACTTAGGTCCTCCTGACTCTAGGGCCAGTGCTCTATCCACTGCACCACCTAGCTGCCCCAAAAGTGGACTTGGTGAGCCTTGAAACTCATCTCAAGCACAGCCTCCTACATAAAGCCTTCCCTGACCACTCAACCTGTTAATGCTCTCCCCATCAAAAGTACCTTTCTGTACATAAATGTATATACAGGTCTTCTCTCTCTCTCCCTCTCTCTCTCTCTCTCTCTCTCTCTCTCTCTCTCTCTCTCTCTCTCTCTCTCTCCCCCTCTCTGTCCTGATAGACTAAAAACTCCTTGTGGGCTTTTGTATACTCAATGGCTGCCATATAATAGGTGGTAGTGTTGAGTCATTTCAGTCCTGTTTGACTCTCCATGATCCCATTTTCAATTTTTTTTGGCAAAGATACTGGAGTGGTTTGCCATTTCCTTCTCCAGCCCATTTTATGGATGAGGAAACTAAGGCAAACAGGGTTAAGTGACTTACCTAGGATCACATAGCTAGTAAGTGTCTGAGGCTGGATTTGAATTCATGAAGATGAGTCTTCCTGATTCCAAGCCCAGTACTCTATCTACTGTGCCACCTAGGGGCTTAAGAAATGTTTAATAATTGATTAAGATACAAGTCAATCAATAAACTTTTATTAAAAGTCTACCATGTGCCAGTCACTGCGCTAAGCCCATGGGATACAAAAAGAGGCAAAAGACAGTCCCTACCTTCAAGGAGCTTACAACCTAATGGGGGAGATAAGAAGCAACAAATACGTCCAAACAAGCTATGTACAGGATAAATAGGAAATAATTAAGGGAGGGAAGGCACTAGAGTTAAGAGGAGTGGGGGAAGGCTTCTGGAGAAGGTGGGATTTGACTTGGAAATGGAAGGAAGCCAGGGGGATGCGCAAATAGAGATGAGGAGGGAGGGCATTGAAGGCACAGAACACAGCCAGAGAGAATGTCCAGAGCTAAAAGATGGAGTGTCAGCCCGGAGGTCAGCATCAAAGGTGAGGTTTGAGCTGAGCGTCAAGAAGCCAGGAGGCAGCCTTGGGGGGAGAGCTAGTGGAAATGCAGGGGGTACAGGAGATGGAGCGTTGAGTATAAAACAGCAAGAGTGCCAGTGTTCCTGGATCATAGAGTTTGTGGAGGAATTAAAGTGTCAGGAGACTGGAAAGGGACTGGAAAAAGGTTATGAAGGGCTTTTAATGCCAAGGTGGGGGGGTTATATTTGATCCTGGAGGGAACAGGGAGCCACGAAAGGTTATTGAACAGGGGAAGTGACAGGGTCAGACCTGAACCTTAGGGAGGTCTTTTTGCCAGCTGAGTGGAGGACGAACTAAGGAGAGAGATGAACTAGGGAGATCAACCGGGAGGAATAGTGCAACAATCCAGATGTAAGCATGAGCTGTGATTATCATTGGCAGTTAGGGGAGCTCCAGGCCTGGAGTCAGGAAGCCCTGAGTTCAAGTGGGACTTCAGACACTAGCTGTGTGACCCTGGGCTAGTCATGTAACCCTCTTTGCCTCAGTTTCCTCATCTGAATAGTGAGCTAAAGAAGGAAATGGAAAACTTCTCCAGTATCTCTGCCAGGAAAACCCCAAATGGGGTCACCAAGAGTCGGACATGACCAAAACAAATGAACAACAAATGATTATCATTGTCTCTCAGACCTGGAGTTTCCCAGAGATCTAAAGAGGCCTTTGTTGACACCTCTCTTTCCTGCCTGGCCTTAAAGAAGTGGGTATTGTGTCACCCTATCCCACAGATGACATCTAGACACATCTAAGACAAACAGAAGCAGCTCATGCCTCAGCTGAGGAAGAAGCATCCTTCAAATCCTCCAGTCCCCTTCCCTTCTACCTTGAGTGCGGATTGATGGGAAACTCCCACTCTCCCACAGGAGAAACATCATGGAGTATCCATGTGGATGATAGAAAGGGGACTCTCAGTTCCTCCAAGAAGCTGGAATTTCCCAACCTGACTCCTTCCTATCTCTCCAATATTTAGTCTCTTCTGAACACCACGATCCAGTCATCCTGGTCTACCCACTGTCCCTCTCGCCCTCCATGCCTTTCCACTAGCTGTCTCCTGGGCTAGAGATGCCCTCCCCCCTCACCTCCAACCCCTGGTTTCCTTCAAGACTCAGATCAAAGCGCATCTTCTACAAGAGGTCTTTCCTGGCTTCCCCATCGCCAGCCTTAGCTAGGCTGCCTCACTGACAAGACACAGAGTCTCCTATTGGGTCTGAGCTTTGGTTCACAGGCTAAAAGAGACCAGAGAGTCACCTGGTCCAATCTTTCATTTACAGATACTGAAACTAAAGTCTAAGGTGGTAGAGTAGATAAGACATTGGAGCTAGGGTCAAGAAGACGGGTTCAAATCCCACCTCTGAGGCTGGATTTGAACTTGGCTATTCCTGACTCCAGGCCTAGCGCTCTATCCATTGCACCGCTTGCTGCCCTGGTTAGGACCCACCAAAGCCTGCGTCTTGCCAAGCTTCGAGAATGCCAGCTCAGTTCCACGCTACGAGGAGGCATCAGCATAGGAATCTGGCAAACACTGCTCATTTCTTTCACGTGTATGTGTGTGGGTGAGCAGTACCCTGAGTGTGTTGTAAGGCCCTTGTAAATAGGTACTGTGTGTCTGCTCCTCCTCCTCCTTCCTGCCCCCTTAATTCCTGGAAGTAAGGGAGCACACCCAAGGCCTCTGTGGGTGAGGACATACCAGGTGGCCGGTCCGTGTCACTGACAAACCGTGAGCTGGGGAACAGCAGGGGTTGGGGGAGGTGGAATGGGGTGGCCTCTAAGATCTCCCTGCAGCTCAGGGGTGGAGGGGACAAGGAACATCAGGGAGCAGCAGGGTGGAGCTCCTGGAAGGAATGAGGGGCAGTTCGGGAAAGAAGGCAGGCTGGAGGAGGGATGGCAAAGGCACCCGGAACATCTGGAGCTGGTTGTTTCTGGCTGGGCCCGGGCTTGGAGCAGAAACAGGGGGAGAAGCTGGGGTGAAGGAGAGTCAGCCAGAGGGGCGTTTGTGTCCCTGGGGAAGGGAAAGAAAGAAGGTTATGGGCAGGGCTGTCAAGCAGCCAGAGATAGAAGGGGGATGGTAGCATCTCAGATGCGGAGCTGGAGATGGAATCTTAACACATTCTTCCCACCTCCTATTAAGGAATTATGACACAGTGGAAAAAGGCATTATGCTTTGGGAGTCAGAAGATCTGGAATTTCATCTAGGTCCAGCCTAGACTTTGGGCAAGTCACTCTGGGCCTCAGTTTACTCATCTGTAAAATGATAGGATTGGACTAGACTCTTTCTAAAGTCCCTTTAGCTCTAACATTCTACAGTACAGAATTGTAAAGAATGAATATGGCCCCAAGAAGAGATACAAGAAGACCCCTTCCCCTCCCCTCTCCATTGAAGAGGTGGGGGTCCACAGTTGTGGAATATTATATATAACTTCAGATTTTTTTCAATGCACTGATTGGTTTTGCTGAATTTCCTGCCCCCTTCTTCCTGTAAATTTTTTTTAAATTAAAAAAATGGCTAGGGGGAGGGGAAGGACACAGGGGAAAATCTAGGTGATGTAAAAACAGAAGATATCAATAACAATCTATTTTTATAAAAACATTCTGTGACCTAACAGTCCTGCCCAGTCCCAGCATCAGGGCCCTGATTCAGGCTCTCTAGCCGGCCCAGGCTCACACTTGCCCAGCAGGGCCTTGCCCTTCAGGAACCCAGGTGCCTTCTCTTCTCTCCCAACAGGTCTGAGATCTCTGCCAACCTTTGCCTCCTGACCAATAGGTCTCCAACACTTCAGTGTGCTTGCACTTTTAAAGAAGATCCCACCTCCACCCCTTTGCTGAGAAAGTTGCTGCCTTAAAGGGTCACGGTGGCCATAAGCCACCAAAGGTAAGAAGCAGGACACTATCTCTGTCATTCTCATAATTGACTTTCCCTTCTCTCTTCCCTCTCCTTTCTACCCTTTTCTGTTCATTCATTCAACAAGCATTTATTGAAAAATTTGGGGTCACCTCCTCACTGTGAAGAAACATCAGAGTAGGAATACTCTATACAGGGGACTATGGGCTATACAGGGCAGGGTGCTAGAGCTACAGAGAGGACAAATAATTAAGTGCCCATCCTCATGGAGTCTAATGCAGGGAAGGAACCATTGCAGGGGAGGGGGAATGGTAGGGACAAAACATGCACACAAACAAGCGTGACACATACCAGTCCAGGGTTCTTAACTGGGGTCCATAAACTTTTTTTTTTGGCTAGGCAATGGGGTTAAGTGACTTGCCCAGGGTCACACAGCTGGTAAGTGTTATGTGTCTGAGGCTGAATTTGAACTCAGGTCCTCCTGACTCCAGGACCTGTTCTCTATCCACTGCACTACCTAGCTGCCCCCTGTCCATAAACTTTTAAAAAAATATTTGGGGCAGGGGCAGCTAGGAGGCATAGTGGATAGAGCACTGGCCCCAGAGTCAGGAGGACCTGAGTTCAAATCCGACCTCAAACACATAATACTTCCTAGCTGTGTGACTCTGGGCAAGGCACTTAATCCCAGTTGCCTCTCAAAAAAAAATTATCTATATATATTTTGGGGGCAGCTAGGTGGCGTAGTGGATAGAGTTCTGGCCTTGGAGTCAGGAGGACCTGAGTTCAAATATGGTCTTAGACACTTGCCACTAGCTGTGTGACCATAGGCAAGTCATTTAACCCCTATTGCTTCACCAAAAAGCAAAAAGAAAAAAAATTTAACAACTATATTTCTATACGATTGGCTTCCTTTTGTAATCTGCGGTATTTTATTCTAGGCATTTAAGAACATGACTCTGAGAAAGGGTCTAGAGATTTTTCCAGGGGTCCATGACACAAGAAAAGTAAAAAACCTTGCTCTAATCTTAGTGAAGTGAAGGGACTTGATTGAGGTCCCCCAGAATAAATGGGAGAACCAGGATTTGAATCCAGATTGGATTCGATGGAGCAACTCTGAATCTAGGATTTCCCCTTCACGCCTTAGGCTCGTCCATTAGCATGCGCCCATCTTCCAGGATACACTGGAAGGCAGCCTTACAGAGAGAGCTGAAGGGAATGGCCCGAGGGCCAAGTGAAGGCCCCAAATGCAGGGGGCTGTCCCAGAAAGGAGGCTTTCCTAGCTCTGGTGGAGGCCCGGGCAGGAGAGAAAGGTCACAGAGACTCCATCTGAAACAGGAAAAACCTGTAAGAAAAAAACTTGAGAAGAAGCCAGGCTAACAGCTTTCAGAGGTCAGGATTGAGACACATCATTTGCACATCAAAGCATGAGACTGATGGAGGAAAAGAGACTCAGGGAAAGAAGACACAAGTATGTTGCAGCCTGTTCCAGAGCAAGAGAGCCTTGAATTGGGAGGAAGGAGATGGACAGAAGGGATTTATGCTTCTTTCAGGAAGGGCAAGGGTAGGACCCTGACCTTTGGACCTGAGATGGTTTGGAAAACCTGAGAGTTGTCAGTGAATGGGCCGTGACACAGTGTAAAGTATACTAGCTTTACAGTGAGAGGAGCCGAGTTCAAATCCCAGCCCCCTTGCCTTCTTTTTCTTACCTGTAAAATAAAGTGACGCTGACCCCGAAGGTACCCTTCACCTCTGAATTAATGATCATGAATGGGACAAGTGGCAACTTGACATCTAGTGATTGTGGCAAGTTTTCTGATCTGTAAGTTTTGCACAAAACACTGGCACCCAGAACACCAGACTCCCATGTTAATCCTACAGATGACTCACTGTGTGACCACAAACCCAACCTCATTTGCTCTGTGCTTGGCACCATGCTGGAAGCCACTAGAGATACACAGAAGTTAAGAAAGGCGGCGGGGTCCAGAATGAGGGAGGAGTTCTCACAAAGCGCTTACTCTGCGCAAATTCAAGAAGAAGAATGTCAGTCCCTACCCTCCAGAAGCTTACATTCTCATAGGGGAAGGGAATGCATAGCAGGGAGCTGAAAGTTCTGGGAAGCTGGAGGTTCTGGGAAGCACCATCCAACCAGAGGCAGAGGCTGCAGGGGTGGAGGGTACTCCCAATATGTGAATTCTGGGGCTGGAGTGAACTTGCAGGAGGATGAGCTTTCTGGGCATGGTGGAGGAAGTCCAAGGCGCAACCTGGAGTCACACTGTCCTCTGCCCTGGTAAGATCACATGTGGAATATTGTGTACTGTTCTGGAAGCCACATTTTGTGAAAGACTTGGACAAACTGGAGCACGGCCAGGATGTTGAAATGCCTCATGAGGAGTGACTGAAGCAACAGAGGACCTTCCTCCTGGAGAAAAGACTTGGGGGTGGGGGAATGTGGGAGCTGCCTTCAAGTACTTGAAGAAAGGCCATGTGAGGGATTCAGCTGGTTCTTCTTGGCCAGAGGGTAGACCCAGCCCCCACAGGAAGGAGCTACAAGGAAGCAGACTTCTGCTGGATGTCAGAAGAAATGTCCTAACAACCAGGGGTCCCAAAGTAAAACAGACTGTTTGTGGAAGTAGTGGAGCGCCCATCTTGGGAGTCCTTCAAAGTAGCCTGGATGGCTACTTGTAAAGGGAGCTATGAAGGGGAATCTCAGCCAGGAAGAGGTTGGCTTTGAGGGGCTCAGGGGTCCCTTTCAACTTTGGAATCCTGCAATGGGGCTATCCTTGCTTCCTTTGACACCCAATTCAAGTGCCATCCCTTTATGATGCTGACCCTCCCACCTAAAAGTGAGCTAACCTTCCTACTTAAATTTCTGAAAATACTTCATCTGGATCCCACCCCACCCTGCTCCACCCTTGACTTCCATATTCTTTGTGAATCTGTACCCCTCCTATTAGATCAGGGGTTCTCCTGGTTTGTCACAGACCCCTTTGGCAGTCTGGTGAAACTAGGACCCGCTTCTCAGAATAAACCGTTTAAGCACATAAAATTCATGGGTTACAACAAAGGAAATTTTTGCCATGTAGTCCAAGGGTAGAGCCAGCACCAATGAATAGGAGATAAAGGCAGAAAGATTCTCTGCTGGATGTAAGGAAAAACTTACAGTTATGCTAGACTAGAAGCTCCTTGACATATCTATGTCTATAACATATCTTCTTATCCTGGAACCTAGCACAGAACCTTGCATACAAAAAATGCTTGATAAATGTTGATTGAATTAAATTGACTAAGAGAAGAGAGAACCTGGGAAGACATATCTGAACAGATGTAGAACAAGGAGAACAAAGCATACCTTAACTATAATATTGTGAAATAAACAATTCTGAAAGACTTAAGAATTTGGATCAACACAATGGTTGACTCCGATTCCAGAGGACTGGGTGGTGAAGGTTCTTTCTCCTGCCGAAAGAATGAGGGACTAAATATGCAGAATGAGAGGCATGTTTTTGATGTGACCTATGTAGGAATTGTCATGTTTGACTATTTGTGCCAAGGTTTTGTATTTCTTTTTCTCCCAGTGGGGAGATAGGGGATACAGAAGGGGAAAAAAGCTTGATAATTGGGGGAAAAAGGGGGTTCTCCCTTCCTCCCTCCAAAAAGGGACTCATACGCTTGTCTCCAGGTAGGTAAGATGTATACAAAATAGCTACAATCCAAGGCACAATGGGAAAGTACCCTCCTTTCCCCAAAAGGGGTGGGAGAGGCTACTTCCCAACCAGCAGAAATCAGAGGAAGCTTCACAGAAGAGGAGGCCACACTGGGCCTTGAAGGATTTTCACAAACAAAGATGAAACAGTGAGGGCAAAGGTTCCAGAGGCAGTAGGGAGCAGAGGGCCAGGGACCTGATTAGAGGATGACTTTTTGTATTGAGCTGCCTCAGACACTTAATAGCTGTGTGACCCTGGTCAAGTTACTTAACCCTGTTTGCCTCAATTTCCTTATCTGCAAAATGAGCTGAAGAAGGAAATGGCAGACCACTCCATTATCTTTGCCCAGAAAGCCCCAAATGGGGTCACAGAGGGTTGGACACAACTAAAACGACTGAACAACAAATGATCTGACCATGTCACTTCCCTCCCTAAAAATCCTCAGTGGCTTCCTATTGCCTCTGGGATGAAAGACAAAATCCTCAGCCTACCATTTAAAGCTCTCTACTGTTGGGCTCCCACCTACCTTTCTAGTCTTATTTCGTATCATTCCTTTCACATTGTCTCTGTTTCTGTCACTCCAGCCTCCCTGCCCTTTCCCGTATGGAACACATCCATGCCTCTGTTTGCACGTTGGACGTCTTCCTGTCAGCCACCTGGAGTCCCCACCTTCCTCCAGAGCACAGCTCCAGGTCTACCCCTATAAGAGGCTTTTCTTTAACATCTCCCCACTTTCTGGTGCCCTTTTCCTCTTGCAATTACTTTGTATTCATTGCTTTAACAGTCTACAGGTTGCATCTCTATCCCCAGCTCCACCAGTAGATGAAAGCAGGAACAGTTTCCCTCTTTGTCTCTTTAGGGAAGCTAAGAGTTGTAGTGGATTGAGCGCTGGGCAGGGAGTCAGGAAGACCTGAATTCAAATCTAGTTTCAGACACTTATTAACTATGTGACCCTGGGTAATCTCTGTTTGCCTCAGTTTCCTGTGAAATGGGGGTAATAATGTCCCCATCAGTAAAATGGGCATAATAAAAACACCTAGCTCCCAAGGTTGTAGTGAGGAATAAGTGAGATGATATTTGTAAAGTGCACAGTGCCCGGCACGTAGTTGGTTATTATTATTGCTATTATTATTCGTAACTCGGTGCCTGACATGGAGTAGGTACTTAACAGGTTTGTTGAATTCAATTCCACCAGAAGTTTAGTTCAGAGCTAGATTGGAGAGGTCCTTGACTGCCCGGCTATAGGTCTATCTAGGCTTTCTTCAGCCGGCAGCTTCGGCAGAGGGCTGTGATCAAAGCAGAGCTGCTCCAAGTGTGAAGATGCAT